TAATTGTTAATGCTTGCTGGCTTAATCCTAGGTTTCTATTGCTTTGTGTTGTTGTGTCTAACTGTTTAAGTTGTTTGTGTTGCTTTGATTATGGATCTGTTTCTTGGTGTTGCTGAATTATAGTTTTGACTTTTTAGGTTTGGGTTATGCTTCTGGGAATGAAATTTTTGCTAGTTTCAATGTATTTTAGGGATCAAATCTAGGTTTTTCAAGTTATGGGAGGCTATTTGCTAAATTGGAGTTCTAACTTGTTTTCTTTTATGTTTGCTTCTGTTTTCGAATCTATAAGATTAACTGTTGATTCCTTATTAATTTTCTTTGTACTTGATTGAACTATTATTGATTGTTGATGAATTGAGTCAATTGTTGATTGTTTTGTGATGCCTTTCTTGGACAAAAATCTCACAAAATTAATACCAAATCTTTCAAAATTTACTACCAAAACCTTCTTTTGAATCCCTCTTTACTTCTACATTTTACCTCTATTTTGGGCTTGCTTGTTTTGATTGTTTTTCTACCTTGTTGAATTGTTGTGTTGGATTTGTTTCTTGTCTAGATTTTGGTTTACCTATAGGCTTTTTAAGGTTGCTAACTCTGTTTTTGCTTGTTGAAGTTCTCTATTCTTGCTTGTGTCTGGGTGTTCTCGATTAATTCCTATTATTGCTTGATTTTCTAGACTTTGGGTTTTAGGTTGACTTGTTGATTCGATTGTTTGTATCAGGGCTTTGTTAACATTTGAATTGTTGCTTGTTGTTGTTTTGCTCTTTCTCTGCTTTCACCTTGTCTGCCAATTGTTTCTTTTTTAAAACCACAAGATTTCTAACTTGAAACACCATAATTTTTTTGCCAATTTTCTTTACCCTATGTATGCTTGATTACTTTATTTATTTTTATCAATGTTTGATTAAGGCTAATTATTATGCAAAATTGCTTATTACCTTTGTTGATTCTCCTTTGAGCTCCCATGAACTCATTTTATTCTTGAATTAAATCCTAAAGCTTTGAGGAAAATTTTAAAGAAAACCAAATCTTTCAAAATATGATTCTTGATTTCTTTCAATGTCCTTTGTTTTTTGCATTACATTAATGTCCAAGTATTGTCAAATCCAAGCTTTGTATGATTTCATTTAAATCTTTCAAAAAGATCACGAATCAAGCTTTCCAATCTTCAATTTGTTATTTCAATATGAAAAGAATAATGAATAAAATTTTTGAGCTCTTTTATTTGGCTTTAAAATTTAATTTCATAATTAAAACCCAATATCAAATTAAAATTCAAAGCCCAATAATATCATAAAAATTTTGGACAAAATGAGATGTTTACATCATGGGATTTGTTGATGGTGTTTTAAAGTGTTTTAACCAGAGAGGAGCTGGATGAAGGTTGAAGGTGAGGTGTTTTGGACCTGCAACCAAAAAGTATGGTCAAGGGCATCAAAGTTGGTTCGTCTTAATGTACTTCTATGCTCAAGTTAGTAATATATTTAGGGTTTGGAGAGGAAGAAGGTGAAGTGTGTTAAAGAAGCTACTTGAGGGTAAATGCTTAAGTTTTACATACTTGGACTTCCTATTTACCATATATATATATATATATATATATATATATATATATATGAGATTAAAGGCGATGACTTAGATGAGATAATTAACAATTGATGATGAATTTATGTAGAGCTCGAGAAAGCTCTGCATAGGTTATTATGAACTATATTTAATGATTTTAGGTAAGTGTGAGTTACATTTAATAATCTTAAGTAAATTAGAATCAAAGTATTCAATTATGAAATGATATTTAAATGGGATGTTAGTGGATATAATAGACGAGCTAATTCTATAATGAGGTGATGTGATAATTGAGTGTGCAATGATTGAACATCCAAAAAAGTTGACCTTGTAAACCGAGCAAATACGAGTAATACGATTCTTTTATTAAATCAAACTCACATCATGCTAATCGATGATGCAATCGTGTATCCAATAGCAACTCCAAAAAGGTTCAAGTATTGAACCCACCCACATGTTTTGATTTTAACCCCACCTGAAAAGTAACAGAAAAATAAGATATTATTAAGTGCAAAAGATTTAGAACGATGCCATTTGCTAATGCAATAGAAAGGTTAAGTGAATTTACCAAGATTTGATCGGACAGCGTCCATGTAAGTATAGTTTCTCCTGCCAGTGACAGGATCGCCAGAGCGGTAACAGGCAGCAAGAAGAGTAGAGGTGTAGTAAGTTACAAAAGAGAACAAAAACATCACTGCTGGACCAGCGATCCATCCAAGCTGAGCTGTGGCCCAAGCCAGGGACAGGACACCAGAACCAATCTCTGCTGTAATAATATAAGCACTTGCGGTCCATACAGTTCCTGGAACAGGAAAATCAGTAACATAAGAGTAGAATTCTATTGAACTTTATATCAAGTAGAAATGTAGAATTCCAAGTGAATTTACTTTTCAACAAAAGTAACAAAAGCAACAAAAAACCAAAGGAATGTTGTCATAAAACTTCCTTGAACTAATCAGTTCGCTTAAGATGGCCATCATCATCAAGGCATTTGGAGCCGCCTTGTGGAAGCGCATCAATAGAGAGGTCAAAAACTTTATCGTCGTGGAGATCGTTCACTCCAGCACCGTTCTCTCCCATCTCTGTTAAACAAAGAAACCAATCAAAATTTGTTATGCCAAAGAAGCAGAATTTAAGGACTGTTAGTGTAACCACCTCTCAATAGTCACAACAGCACAAATAGATTGAGACCAAGGACTTCTAGGAGATGGAAAACTAAGAACAAAAGAGAATCCGCAGCTGAATTAAATTTGTAAGATTAAAGAAATGAGAATGTGAGTGAGTATATATAACTTCCATGGGTTGGTAAGAATGGTGCAGCTGCAACTAATACTAACAGAAAAAAAAGAAAAAGACAGAGAGTAGGTTAAAAACTCAATATGACATAACTAATACTATGCGTTTTTTGCATCTTTCTCTTTTTCAGATTATGAAATTCGAATGTTGCGGATCAAGGTGATATTTAAAGAAGAATATAATTAATGTATTTTCCTTTTCGTGAAGTTTTTGTTCCAGGTCCACTTCTTAGTCAATGGACTGATAGTTGAAGGGACGGGATCATGACTTTGACTTCTAGGTAAACCTGTAAGTGAAGGAAGGAACAGTTGTAACGGCTGATCCGAGGCATTTAGCTCGTTTAAATTAGTTATTCAATAATCGATGTGACATTTAATAAATTTTATAATGAAATTTTAAATTTATTTGTGTTGAGAGAATTTATATACATTGAAGTGAATTTGTGTAAGGCGATTTACATTGAAAAAAATATGCCAAGGTGATTTTTATTGAAATGAATTTATGCCGAAATAATTTTTATTGAGGTGAATTTGATGAATCTGAACTCTTGCAAAGATAATTTTGTTGAATGAAGCTTTATTAAAAAAAAATTTATCAAAGTGAATTTCTTTGAAGTCAATTTTTGTTATAGTTAGTTTTTTTACCTAACTAAGTAATTAGGTAAAGCTGAAATTTTTAATCGACATGAGCTCTTAGGTCGAGCTAATCTTTTGTTAAGAAAATGTGACAAAACTGTTACTTTATCAATGAAATTTGGTTAGGTTGAGCTTTTTTGGCTGAATTGAGTTCAAGCTCTTTTGATAAAACTCTTACGTCGAGCTATTTTGTTAAGTTAAGCCTTTACAAAGTTATTTTGTAAATTCGAGTTTTTTCGATTGAGCTGGGTTCGAGCTCTTACGTCGAGTTATTTTGTTAAATTAAGCCTTTATGAAAGTATTTTGTAAATCTGAGCTCTTTTGGTCGAGTTGAGTCTGAGCTCTTAAGCCGAGCTGTTTTGTCCAATTAAGCTTTTATGAAAGCATTTTGTAGATTCGAATTTTTAGAGTGAGCTATTTTGTCGAGTTGGACATTTATAAAAGTATTTTGTAGATTCAAACTTTTTTGATCGAGTTGAGTTCAAGTTCATAGGTCGAGTTATTTTATCGAATTAGGCATTTATGAATGTATTTTGTAGATCCACATTCTTTTAACTAAGATGAATCCAAACTCTTAGGTCGAACTGTTTTGTTGAATTGAATTTTTATAAAAGTATTTTGTAAATTCGAATTTTTTTGGTTGAGTTGAATGTGAGCTTTTTTACCTTTTTGTTATGTCATTTTGAACTCAATCGAAAAAGGCTTTTATCTCGCGTGCCATTTGTTAAGTTTTGATTATAGGAAGGGATTGAATATAAACTTAAAAATAAAAATGAAAGAATTGAAAAAAGGAACTTTAAAAAAAATGAGAGTTAAAAGAAGAATTAATCCCTATTTTATTTAGAGGGGGTGGGAATATTTATATAAATTTACTTGGATTAAAAATCAAAAGACCTCGAATCTAATTATGAGCTTCTCTTAAGATAAAAAATAATTATATATTTACGAACAAAAAATGCCACTAACAAATATATATGCAACAAATTTTTTAATTATTTATAATCATTGCTCGTGAACTTCCGTTAACCAAACACGTAAAAAACATAAAAATTATCACAAATCTTTCCAACCAATCCGGGTTAACCCCCACAAAGAAGTAATAGCAGTTTCCTGCAGGCGACAGTTGTCCTTTCCAAATTTCAACAGTATGACGTAACTACACTTTCAAGTTTCCTCTAACAGCCCTATAATCCATAAAGGGGATTCCCTGGCTCACTGTTTTGGGTCCGATCGGTTCATAAATTAAATTATAGTACATGTAGTTTTGTGCTAACTAATATTTAAACTTTCAAGAATCCTGTCCACTAATTAAAATATAAAAAAATTATATAAAACGTTTTATTTCACGTTAATATATATATATATTATAATCATGTTATTAAAAAAAGTCATCTATTTAATATAAGTCAATAGATGTTTAAATTTCTAAATAGGGAAAGATTTTGTTTCTTTTGTTAAATATATCTGCTTTGGTCAAAGAGTATTAGTTCACGAAACATGTATTATTCAAAGATTAAAGTGCAAAATGTCTTCGAATGGACACAAATGACTCTTCTCCGGCCACTGAACATTGCAGTCTCCATTAGCTTGCTTGGCAAAATTTCCAAGGCAAATCACACATTCACAGCCCAAACCAGAAACCTTCTTCAATGCCTCAATGCCTGATTTACTAGCTGGAACAAAACTAACTTCCATTGATGTCTCTCCAGCTTCATCCTCCTCTGCCTCATCATTATATCTTATGGCTCCAAATGTCATGGCAATCAGTTGGTTCACGATGCGTTCATCACTCAACATGGACTCGGTGAACTCCAAGATGTCCAGAATACACTCGTACCTGACCGTTTCTGGCATTCGTTGGCCGCCAGAAGTGAGATAAGACAACTGGTGGAAAAATTTTCGCTCGAATATTTCAATGAGTTTCTGGGAATCCAGTTGGTAGAGATTGATCAAAGCATGGCAACAACGAAAATGGGCCTCTAAATCCATGTCGTCGTCATCTGGGATTTGATCATTCTCCAGTCGATGTAATTCCCTTGTTCTGAAAAAGTACCTGAAACCAGAATTCCTATCAATAGAATTTGTAGCTTTTCCTAATTTTGTTTTTACAATTCCATCGTGAAAGATCTCTCTCTATATATACATTAGAACTCCCAACAAAACAAGGAGTAGGAATACAATTCCCGAGAGAATTGTGTTATAGATATATAAATAATTAACAAAAACATAATTATCTAAAATAGGAAAAGTCTAAAGTGACCTTGTATTTTTTATGTGCTGTCCAGTTAATTGAATATATTAGTTTTGGTGATTCAATGGCGCCTGCCATGTTCTAATAATTTTGTGTTTGTTTTATATGAATTTGCATTGTGTATAAAATTTTAATACTTTTTTCTAATTTCAATGCTATTTAATTTTTCATGCTTTAATTTACTTAGAATATAATTTACTTCCCATATATCTTAGGTTTATGCCAAAATAATAATAAAAAGATTTAAAATTCTTTGCCTAGATGTTAGAGAAAATAAAAAACGTATTTTAAAAAAATAATTTCGCTTATATGTTAAGGAATTATTAAATAATAATAGAGATAAAAGATTAATAAATAATAATAATAATAATAAATTTAATTAAAAATATAAAATATAAAATATAAATTTTTTTAGAAAAATTATAAAAAGCAAGCTTGTATAGAAAAATATATATAAAAATTAATTTTTAGAAATTATAAAAAAAAAAGCTTGCTCAAGAAAGTTTGCTTAGATATTGAAAATTTTTAGAGACACTTGTAAATTTGTGAAATGAAACTTCAAAATTAAAACCACAACCGAAACTCGAAAATCGAAACTCGATAAATTGAAACCTTAAATGAAACTCTTAAAATCAAAACCTTAAGTGAAATCAAAACCCTAAATGAAACCTTAAAAATCCAAACTTTAAGTGAAACCTGAAACCCTAAATCCTAACCCGAATCTCAAAGCCTTAGTGGAACACCTAAATTAAACTTTACAATCCTAAACTTACTCAAAACTCTAACTTCGTTTTAAATTTTTAAGGATTTGTATGAAACCCTTTTATGAAATAATTTATTCTTGAACGCTGTCTAGATGATAGGGTATTTAAGAAATTTTATTTCATTAAGAATTTTCATATATTTCCATAACTTAAAATAAAATTTTTACTAAAAAATAAATAATAAATAAATAATAAAATAAGATTTTAAATATAAATAATTGCATTTAAACTCTACTTAAAGGTTGGAGAGTTCAGGTAATCTCTTTATATTTGAAAACTTGATTCATAAATTCGCATTTTATCATCATTTGCATCCGACTCATTTTTAAAATAATGTGTACATTTATAATGCATATATATGTTTATTCTAATTATTAATGTTTAATATTAATTATATCATTTTTCATTTTTTTACTACATAAAAAGTTTTTGAAAAACCTGTTTTAAACAAATAAAATTCAAATAGTATTTCGTAAAAATAATTGTTGGTAATCTATCTAAATGTTGGAGAGTTGCCTATATTTATCATTTAGAAATAATGTTATTTTATTATTGTTTTTTAAGAAATGATATAATAAATCTTAGATGAAAAGGCTATTTTTGAATTTTACTTTTATGTCAAAAAATTTGAAAGTATTTTTTTTTTAATATAAAGATTTTCATAATATTCCTAAATAAAGTTTTCTTTAAATTAATTTTCTTTTTTATAAGATTAAGGAAATTATAATTAAATTTCATATAGAAATCATTTTTATCTAGAATTATAAATAGCGCATAATTAATTGATACTAATTTTGTGGGCGATGTGAGGGTGCTAATCCTTCCCCACATATAATCGACTTTCAAACCCAATCTTATTTTTGTAGACCAAAATCATCTTTTTAATAAACTCTAAACCCGTTTTATTAGAAAAATAAATTTTTTAGGTGATCAATCACACCCTAAAAAAATTAGTAGCGACTCTTTGCATTTTTCACAATTTTAATTTTTATATCTAGTGATTAAGTTTTTGGACTGATATGTTATGACAATTGTCACTGAAAGGATGCAAATGATTTCAGATATCACCATTGAAGATAATCCAAATATCACTACCAAAGGAAATTTGAATATCACCACCAAAAAGAAGCAAATGATTTCGGATATCGCTACAAAAGAAAACTCGGATATCACCACCGAAATGATGCAAATGTTTTCGGATATTACCACCAAAGGGAACTTGAATATCATTATAGAGAAAATAAAAATGACTTTGGATATCACCATCAAAAGAAATTCGAATATCACCATCATGAAAGTGCAAATGGGTTTGGATATTGTCACCGAAAAATGCTTGAATATCACCATCAAGAAAATACAAATAACTTCGGATATTGCCATCAAAGTAGACTTGAATATCACTATTGAGAAAATATAAATGACTTTAAATATTGCCACCGAAAAAAACTCAGATATCACTTTCGAGAAAATACAAATGTAGAGAAAAAAATGCAAATTCAAACTTTAATCTTGGATATCACCACTGAGTGATTTTGAAAATGTCTTAGATATCACCACTAAGAAAATTAAATTCAAGCTTTAAACACTTGAATATCACCACGGGGAAAATAGAATTCCAACTTTAACACCCGAATATCAACACCTAGAAAATGGAATTTTAGCTTTAACATTTAGATATCACCACCGAGAATATGAAATTTATACTTTTAATATCACGGATATCATCACCAAGTAATTTTGAAAAGAGTTTGGATATCACCATCGAAGAAGATGAAATACATATTTTGATACCCAGATATCACCACCTAATACTTTGAAAACAATTTATCACAACATTTTTCTTGACTAATGCCGATTTCACTGGGTTAACAACCTTCATGCTAGATAGATTGGGCTTAAAGTTCTCATCTTGTGTTATTGCATTAAAATTCCTAAAAATTCTTGATCTTTTAATATGTTTTTGCCCTTTTTTTCTCTTTTTTCTTCTTTAATGTTTCTTAAATTGGCAAACACCACCATGATGCAAATGTCTTCTCTTAAAATGATGATACAAATGAAATGCAAATATCTTTTATGAAGATGCCAATGCATACATCCCTAATAATGATGGACAAGCTAATGATGCAAAAATAAAGTCAAAAATATGTAAATGCTCAAAATTTTCTTTTCTTAATTTTCAAAATTCTTTTTCTTTTAATCCCAAATCTTCATCTCCAATTCCAAATCCTTTCTTTGCTGCTCATTTTTCATCAATTTCTGCTTTCTTTCTTCACAAGTTGGATTTTATTTTCATCTTCATATCAAACATGCATAAGATCAGCTTGAAATTGATTAAAAGGAATTGAAGAAAACAAACCATTGAACTATGGTGAAACTCAACTGATTAAACATATTTTTGTAATAAAAAATGCTTCCTATGGTGCCATTTATTTTTCTCAAATTTGTTTATTTTTAATTTTCAAAATTTTATTTTTCTTCCCAAAAGCATTTTATTTCATTGACTAAATTTTCATAAAAAATTGCCTTGTCAACTTTATGAAATGATGTGACTCTTAAGTCCTAAAAAAAATGATGATCATTATTAAGCACATGTTTGGACAGAATGGCAATTCCATCTTTTTAAATGGCTTGGATGGTTAATTATCATATTGAGGTCTTGATTATCAAAAGAAACCTCACGACTTGATGGAGAAAATTGAATTTCTATTTATCCAAGCTCAACAATAAATTCCTTTGGAAGTTTCTTTTGATGTGTAATCAGATTTGACACCTATTTTAGTATCATAATGTGGTATTTTAATAGATGTCAAGACCAATTGTGGTAGGTTTATGATCATGCTAGGATTTTCTATGATAACTCTTGCACATATCTCAATCATTGATTGCAATGAGTTTTCATGTTACAATCTCATTTCTGCTCTAGAATGCTCATTTTTTAGTTTTCACCCTAAAACTTCATTCTCCATTTTTTTTCTCTATTTTTTTATGATTTTTTCATGCATTCAAGTACTCTTATGAAAGAGAAAATTTTACAAAGAAAAAAAACAAAAGTGAAGTTGATCATAAGGATTCTATAAGGAACAAACTCTTTAGTTCAAGTATCCATTTTGATCAAAATGGACTTTTCGAGGTATATAACATAGGCCAAGGTTCGAGGTTATGAAGGAATGAATAAATAGACCCAAAACATGTGTTTGAAGGTGATCAGACCAAGGATCATTTCATATCATGTGAAGGACTTTCCTTCGAGCATTTATCCTTTTTATTTCTTTGGTCTTAATATCCTATCATCTCTTTTCTTCTTCTTTTTTTTTTTTTTCCATCATTTTCACTTTTGCTCTTTCTTGCATATTTCAACTTTTGCAGGAATATGTTCAAAACTTCTAAAACTTAATTCATTTAACATTTACCCCTACAACATAAGGCATTATTCCTCTATTGTCAAAGCATGACTTCATCAAATAGATCATTATTTTTATTTTTTTTCCTCATATATAGGGTGATTCTTGATCAATGTTGATTTAGAAAGAATTCATTAGGCTCAAAGGGGTAACAAATAAATAATTTCTTATTTGTGAAACGATGAAGAAAGATGGTCATTTGTCATCTCAAGTTTGGTCACTTATGCTGAAGCATGATTCCTTGAAAAATTTGAATTTTGTTTTTATCACCTCTCTTTTTTTGTTTCATCATTTTTTTGAGTTTTTTTTTATTTTTATTTTTTGTGAAATCATTTGAATATCTATAGTGCATAATGTAACCATCGATCTTTTTTTTTTTTTCTTTTCTTCTTATTTTATAACTCATATGACAACTAGTCTTTGTCTTATCTTGATAGGCCAACAATGTAACAATGAAAATTATGTTGAAAGGGTTTATTTAGGTCTCAATTACACATATTATCATCAAATTAGATAGTGGCAAAACTAGGTAGTCTTAGGGTAATAAGAAATCATGCTTTTCTGTCAATATAC